ATTCTTTTAGCTATCCTGGGTCTTTTGTCCAAGTTTATTTTTAAACAAGAACTTATATTTCATGAAAAACACCTAGAGAAAATTTTTCTATGGAATTTGCCACTTTCCTCTGCTCAGATAAACATATACATAATATTCACTAACATGTAATCATGCTGTCTTCTGCATCATGTACTGTTCATGCTCCACTGGTGACTGTTTTTGATTGAATTTTGTTAGTTCAGCCAGTTTGATTATAAGACTAGGAAATCAACTGACTCCTTCTGAGTAACTTTATTTTAGTGTCCCTCTTCCCTTTTGGATTAGAAAAATAACAGACGTTTATTGTGAAAAGGCAAGCATTCCAGCTGTCTTAGGAAGTAAAAAGCCCCGACAATCCCACCCCCGGAATAACAGCTACTAATAATATGGTTCATAGTCTTACACATTTCCTCTGCTCATAGACTAACACATACTGTCTTTCCACATATTTTACATAAATGGCATCTGCTGTCCGTACTGTTTGGCCGTGTTTTTTTGTTTGTTTTTCACTTAACAGCTCAGCTGTCTTTGTCAGGACCTATAGACTGAGCTCAACTTTTAGACAGAGGAAAACACCCACTTTACACAAACAGAACACGTGTCTAATACCTTACCATGCGTGCCTTAACTGAAGCAAGGTCTAGGTGAGCAAGGTCTTCTGGGGGTCAAAGGGATGGCTTAGCAGCTAAAGGCACCTGTCTGCAAGCTGGATAAGCTGACTTCTATCTCTGGAACCTGCATGTGCATACACTGTTGCAAGCATAGGCATGTGCGTGCATGCAGGTACACACACACACACACACACACACACACACACACACAGAGAGAGAGAGAGAGAGAGAGAGACAGACAGACAGACAGACAGACAAAGGAAGTAAATAAGTAACAATGTAGCAAGAATGAAAAAGAAAGTGATGGTTGCTATCTATTGTCCCAGTCACCATTTCTGGGGGATAGGGCTCGCTACCTCAAAACAGCAAACGATAGTAAGTAAGCCTTCGAAAACCATTAGGCAGTTAAATACACCTTTTTAAATGAACAGCCAATGGACAAAGCTGAAATGAAGAATACTTCGGAAAATACCCTCCTGTGGAATTGCCTTTAGGTGGCAGGGTGACAGGCCCAGGCATTTTTCAACAGCTTGCTATCAGCTAGAAACACACTTCTCAACACCTCAGCTCTGAGCCGTTAAAGCTTCTCATTTAGTGAGAAACACAAGACAGATGATTCAGTATGCCCGGCAAGGCAATTCATTAACCCATCAAGGGCTTTTCTTTTTGAGCAGGGGGTAACCCATAGAGAAACGAATGTAATCCTTAACAAGGAATCCAGAGCGCGGCTAGAGGGAACACCCACAGACAAGGCTGGAGATGGTCTTTCCTCTTCCATCTGGAATGACCAGTTGTCCCTCAAAATCACAGATTTCCAACAAGAATTGATCCTGCCTGGCAGCCAAATAAGCCCCATCACCCCTCTGCTGTCTTGGAGATGAGAAGCCATCTATTTGCTAAAACACACTCACAGAAGACAACCAGACAGCTAGTATCCCCGGGCTTTGGACTGTCCACAAAGAACCGAAGGAAATAAGCCAACCCTTGCCAGAACTGACAGCAAACAGAATGCACGTTCTCAGTTGAGCCATAAAAGTCACCATCAGTCCGGAGAACGCCTGAAATCTGGCCTGCTAACTACACCCACCTGGGACCCTCATGTTCTTGTCTGGGGCTCTGGAATTTCCATGCTTATGGGAACACTGAAGGGTAGCTACAGTAGAAATAAGTGTTTTGTGGCAAACTGTTCTGTTTTCCAAAACATCTGCCCTTTCCTTATTATGTTTTCATTCCATGAAAAATTCTGTGTCCTACTGTAATCTTTGGTTTGAGAATCTCCCTTCTCCAAATGAGAAGCTTAATAGTGCAAAATATTTAGAAGTTAATTATACCCACTCATCACTAAATGTTTTGTTTGTGCCGTTAACACAAGTTCCAACAAGCAGATTGCTAGAAGGTTCATATACTCTCTAGTGCAGTACTGTGTATGTAATAAAGGAGGTCTGGAGGCCAGAAGGGAGATACTTGAAGTTTCTTAAGCTTCTTACAGAGCTGTCAGGTTTTTCAGAGACTTTATTTTCATTAGTGCTTGTATTTGTTGTAATTATTGTAGTAGTCATTAGGAAAAGCAATTGTTCCACTCTCCTCTCCTCTGTCCTGGTTTATGCATGTGCTCCCAGTATAACAATGAAGGGCATCTTCCTTCTCAGACTCTCAAACATGTTCTGGTTTAGCTGCTATACGACCACGATACCGGAAAGAGCAGGGCATGTCAGTATAAAGCACGGGTGGAGATTATCAAGATTTCTAACAGATTTCAGCGCTGTTTTTAGTGGAAACTGAGCTGCTTGGGTAAAGGAAGGTACATACTCAGGGCTGGGCATGGCTCCTTAGGAGCGCATTGCACTTAGAATCTTAGCAACAGCCATATATATGATTTTGGTTACATTGGTCACAGGTACTTTGGGGACAGGGGACTGAGGAAGATCAGACGCTGGTAAAGCCACAGACACTAGGTTTGTATGAGGGAGTTAAGGCGTGCTTTCATAAATATGAAGTTTATAGTGTCATGAGATTCCCAAAATATTGCAGGTTTACAGCCGAGAAGGAATATGGTCTATTTGGACCTTCAGCACGGCTCACTGCAATTTTAACATTAAACAAGGTATTTCTTTTTGCATATGTGTCTGTGTGTGTGAGTTAGGCTGTGCCTATCAGCTATGGAGTCGTGGCTCTGGTGTCAGGGTACAATGGTACATGTGTGGGTGTCAGCGTCTCAGGAGCTGGGGGTGCCGTCTATCCTGTGGGAGCTGCCCTCCATGTTTCTCCTGCTGTCCCGTGTTCTCTTGGATAGCTGGGCTGGCCTATGAGTTTCTGGGCAGGTCTCCTGCCTCTACCTCTCATTTCACCGCAGGAATGCTGGACTTACAGATGCACATCACCACATCTGACTTTTCCCATGGCTTCTAGGGACTGAGCTCAGAGTGCCAGGCCTGGATACTAACACCTTTACCGGCTGAACCATCTCCCTGGATGTATTCGAACCTTCTTACTTGAAATATGTAAAAGGAATATTTCTATGAAAGCAACCTTCACAGCTAAATGTCTTTATTCTGGAATTTTAAAATTTATTTTATTTCAATGGGCGGTGGTGGCGCACACTTTTAATCCCAGCACTTGGGAGGCAGAGCCAGGTGGATCTCTGGGAGTTCAAGGCCAGCCTGGGCTACAGAGTAAGATCCTGGACAGGCACCAAGGCTACACAGACCCTGTCTCGAAAAAACCAAACCAAACCAAACCAAAAAAATTATTTTATTTCATGTATATGAGTGTTTTGCCTGCATGTATGTCTGTGCACCACATGTATATCTGTGCGTCACATACATGCCTAGGGCCCACACATGCCTGGTGCCTACAGAAGGTCAGACTAGGGTGTTGGATCCCCTGAGGATTGTGAGCTGCCAGGTGGGTGCTGGGAACAGCCTGTATCTTCTGCAAGAACAACTAGTGTCTTAACCACCGAGGCATCTCCCTAGCCCTGGAGACTTTTGACTTTCAGCAGATGAAGGGACTCAGGCAGGAGGGTTCCTTTCCCTTCCGCGTATCCTTCATTTCCTGTCTTTCCGCCCTGCCCCAGAGGCTGAATTGCACAGGTACTCTATTAGTTACCTAAGACAGCCTTCTGCCCTCACAGCTGCAGAGCCACAGAACGGCTGTACACTGACCAGCACATTAACAGTGTATCAACATGACGGTTTTCTGTCTGAACTTTAAGGATTCCCATCGTTTATCCTAGAGATGTCCCTCCTATGAGTCTATCTTACAGAAACTCTTTTTTTTTTTATAATCAGAATACACACACACACACACACACACACACACACAGAGAGAGAGAGAGAGAGAGAGAGAGAGAGAGAGAGAGAGAGAGAGTAGAAACGGGGAAATATAAATGTACTATAGGATGAGTTAAATATAGTAAAAATTCTATGTAATTATCAAAGAAAGTGACTGATTAATGTGCAAATGATGCAATGAAATGTTCAAGATACTTTTAAATAAGCCGGACAGTGGTGGTGGACACCTTTAATCCCAGCACTCAGGAGGCGGAAGCAGGCAGATTTCTGAGCCTGGTCTACACAGCAAGTTCCAAGACAGCTAGGGTTACATAGAAAAGAAAAAAAGGAAAATGAAAAACAAAACAAAACACCACCTTGAAAACCAAAAAAGAAAAAATGTACTTTCAAACACAAAAAGCGTCTGTGGCTGTGTACGATGGCCAGCTCCAGGGAGGCTCCTGCTTCCTCCATCATTTCCTCTAGCCCCCATTCCACAAAATCATGCCACGTAAATATCACCCTAAATACTTAACTGCTTACCAGAGGATTCAGTTTCTCCCTAAATCTTCCCATCTTACCAGATTGCCTCTCCTAAACCTCACAGATAGTCTCTAGATGCCACGAGGTACAATGTATCTATCCTGTTGTGTCTTGTCTATATTGGAGGAGGATTCACAAAGCTGTTGACAGGGATTACCTCTGAAGAGTGTGACTGCCTTCTGTATTTTAACCCACAGCACATATCACGAATCATTTTAGAAATTAGTTCTAAAGGAATACACGTAGAGGCAGTTTGTTTGTGCAGTGTGTGCGTGGAGCCAGCTCTCCGGTATTTTTCCTGGATGGGTTCTTAGAAGTGGGTGTAGCATGTTCTACTTTATCTCCCAGTTATCGGGCTAATTGAAGAGAGAAGCTTAAGGAAATAGTGGAAATGTATCTTGTCCTTTCCAACCTTTCCATGGCCATTTTAACCCAATCAGTTCAATAGATACATTAACTATTTCCTCTAAATGTCTTTGGAAGTAGATTATAAAAACATAAACCAACTACTTAAAAGGGGTTGGCTTTAACTTTGTCCCTTTCCTTTCTCTGATCTAGCTTGTAGGACAAGGACAGATCCAAAAGGCTAAGAGACGACGACGACGATGATGATTCCAGGAAATAACTGTGTGAAGTCATGGGTCAGATTGTACCATTTCCACCTTCAGAGGGTATGAAAGTGGCTTCACTTAGTTCTGATTTTAGAGTAGAACAAGAAATGAAAAAAAAATAAAAATAAAAGTCGAACGGGCTCTTCCTTCAATGGGAACGCTTCCTACCTGCTCCTCTTCCCTTCCTCTCTAGCGCCTCACAGGCTTTGTCCTTAATTGTCCTTGAAGATTTCACTCCAGGTTCCCGGTCCCTCCATCACCCTCTGCCTGTCTCCCCAGAGTCCAGGAAGAGACTGAAGTGTAGCTAGAGTTTTCCTGCCTTGCCCACAGTCTGGACAAATCTCTGTCACCCACCAGTCCCACAGCCCCTCAGACCCAACCAAGTAAACACAGAGACTTACATTGCTTACAAACTGTATGGCCGTGGCAGGCTTCTTACTAACTGTTCTTATAGCTTAAATTAATCCATTTCTATCTATACCTTGCCACGTGGCTCGTGGCTTACCGGTACTTGACATCTTCCTTGTCCTGGCTGCGGCTGGCAGTGACTCTTAATGCCTTCCTGTTCTTTCTTTTCTCCTCTCTGTTAGTCCCGCCTATACTTCCTGCCTAGCCTCTGGCCAATCAGTGTTTTATTTATTGACCAATCAGAGCAACACACTTGCCATACAGACCATCCCACAGCACTGAAGCACTCGTCCACCTTTGTTCTTTGCCCCCTCTCACCGGACTTCATTGATGAAGATCGCGTTTCTCATTCGCACCAAGCCCCCTTCCCACCTCGGCCCAGATTATAACTTCCCTCGCAGTAGGGACAGAGCATATAGTGGGTCCTAACAAAGGTTTGTTTCATGAACCAAACCTAGAGATGTTTCGGTATGTCTTCAGATCCCTGGATGTTTACGTAAACCTCACATTTACTTTCTGGTAAGAGATGGTGGGTGGAGGTAGAAGAGGGGCGGGGAGGCCTTCACATCATTGTGCGGGTCCCTCAGGGAGAGAATTCCCTAGGACAGGAGCAGCCTTCCTTTGAACTGGCTCAGTGGCTAGAGCTCAGAAGCCTCTCCACGTTTCTGCCTCTGTTGCCTATTGGTTTGCAATGCCTCCTGTCATTGGTTCGCTTTGCACTCGCTTCCTAGCCTCTTGCCCCATACCCCTGAGAAACTGGAGTAGATTTTTGGGAACCTTGTAGATTCCACATCCACCCATTGTTGTTTGTTTGTTTGTTTAGTGGTGCACACCATTCTGGATAAGCCGGCTTAGGAGGAGACACAGTGACTCTTGTCACTTTTCTGTAACCAGGGTGACCCGGAGCACTTCAGGCTGGGAGGAAATTGGCTTCTCTACTCAGCTGCTCCCACTGCAGGAGCCTGGGCACCCTCTCAGCATCCATCAACAGGACTGAATTAGTTGCCGCTCCATCTGATATTAATAGTGATGGCGCCTGGCTACAGGCGACTTTCCCCGCTTTGCTAAAAGAGGTTGTGACCTATTTGCACACGAATTCGAGCATGTGAAAATCTGCATTTGACTGCACCGTTAACATCACTAATTAGAGACACGGTAATGTGAGCTGGGCAACCTCTTTTAAAAGCCCAGTACGAAACTATTAACTGCTCAGATATTGTGAATGACTATGTATTGGCTCCGCCTCTAACATCAAACTGATATCTGCTGGGGAAATCAGTGGAGAGTGGGGAAGTGGAGGAATACAGGGAGTGGCAGACAGAGAGCGATTCGAGACACAGGAAATGAGTTGCTAAAGACCACAGCGCCCAGCTCCAAGGGGAGGGCTGGAGGAGAATGGGGGGCGGAAGGTAATGGTCTGTGCCGGACACTTGGGGAATGAGGTGAACAGTGGAAAGATGTTTAGTGAAGAATCAGAAGGGGGCTCAACTGTGTGGAAAGGGCCCCTTTATTGGATCTGTGATCACCTAGGTAAAAGTAAAGACCCACAAAGTGATCTAAGATGGAAGCTGCAGGAAACACTGTCAAGTATGGGCAGGATGGATGAAGTTACGGACGCAAAAACCATGGCGCTCACCTTAAAGATATGAATAAGAAAGTTTATTCGAGGGCCGTTTGGAGTAACCATGGCCTGGGGACACAGATTTAGGTTACCCCAAATTCCATGTTTCAAGTTTCATAAAGTTTTTCTAGTTTTGCAGAACAAAGAATGTCATAAGCCAAGGCAAATTTAAAATACATTGGTGGAGTTCAGCAGGCAGTGGTGGCGCACGCCTTTAATCCCAGCACTCAAAGGTAGGCAGATCTCTGTGAGTTCGAGGCCAGCCTGGTCTATAGAGTAAGTTCCAGGACAGCCAGGGCTACACAGAGAAAGCCTGTCTCAAACAAACAAAGAAACCAACCAACCATTGGTGGGTACATCAGAGAGGTGGGGACAGATGAGGAGCATCTTTTCTCTATGTCTGAGATGCTATCTGACATTTGGGTTGGTGGAAGCTAGTGGTCCACTAAAGTAATGGATTCCCAAGGGTTTTTATCTACTAGTCGCAGGATGATAGTACAGACACAGAGTTGGTTAAGGAGCGGCTGTTCCAGAGGGCTCTAAGTAGCCCAAGATAAAGTCACTGGCCTTTGAACCTGTGACATACCAAACTCTCCACGGTACTGCAGTTCCAATCAACCAGTCCCTGCAGGATTTCCGACTGGACATATTTTGTTTGTTTGTTTCACTTTCTGGTAACGTGTATGCAGAAAACTTGGAAAACAAGCAGGCTTAATGGACCCAACAAAGCAGCAAAAACAGAAGGGCAGAATCTTTGCATTGGAGCATATGAGCCTCTGGTCTTTTGTCTACCTGTATTTGCGCATGCGCAAATCACTGCCTAGAACACGGACTATACTTCACACACACACATTGCCGTACAGCCTGGCATGACGTATTTTGAGACATGCTGGTGAACTGGCTAGGAACAGTTGTTTTTTTATCTTTGTGTGGCTTCCGTATACTCTGTCCTTCCCACCCCACCTGCCTGCTGGGCTGCGGGAGGCCGATCTCCGCGAGGCTGATTGCTGACCCAGGAGGAGCCCCTTGTTCATCGACACGGCAAATGGCTCAGCTTAAAATAATAATAACGAGGTTCTGCTTTAAACCTCACTGTGCATATGCTTTCTTTCTAAGTATGAGAGGCTTTTAAGTAAGTATGTAAGATAAAACAAGATTGATTGATTAGTGTAAGCTACATCCTAGCATCCAGAGCATCCCATTTGTGAAACTCAACCCTGTAATCATAGCCTGGGGTAAGAAAGCCAACTCCACACGTGAAGAAAAAAAGCTGAGACACCGGGAGGGAGTGATGCATTCACAAACCAAACAAAAGTTCTTGCCTTAGAACCTAGTCTCCCATCTTTTATGTTTTATAAACCCCCCCACACTTTTTTGTTTTTGTTTTTGTTTTTTTGTTTTTTGTTTTTTTGAGACAGGGTTTCTCTGTAGTTTTGGTGCCTGTCCTGGATCTCGCTCTGTAGACCAGGCTGGCCTCGAACTCACAAAGATCCCCCTGTCTCTGCCTCCCGAGTGCTGGGATTAAAGGCGTGTGCTACCACCGAATCTAGCTATATATAGCCCAGGCTGGCCTCGAACTCATGACCCTCCTGCTGAGCTGTAAGATTATGGCCAGCATGTTTTGCTTTGTTGTGTTTTGGAGTCAGGCTCTCTCTCATGTAGTACGGGGTAGTTTTGAACCTGGTTCTCCTCCCACCTCCGCCTCCCAAGTGTTAGAATTACAGACATGTGCTGCCACACCTAGCACATTTCATACTTTGGATGTGGGTCAGAGGTATTAGCCTAAATATTTCTCAGTAGGTCTCTCTCTTCCCTACTACCACTGCCTAAACTTGACCTTCGTTTTACATGTGAATTTCTGCAAAAGCCAGACACCTTGTTTTCCTGCCCCTAGGGCTGCTCTCCTCCACTCCCCCTTCCCAGTTGTGCTGACAGGAACTTCTTAAAATGAGTAGCAATATCTGTTCCCATTTACTATCTCTCTGTAACAACCCACCCTAAAACACATCAGCTCAAAATACCCATTGGTTTACTGTACTTGGAGATGCCACAGGCCAGGACTTCTGAGTAGTAGTAGTAACATGGGTGGCTTTTCTCTGCCCTCGTTAACTTGCTCCCTGGGGGACAGGGGCACTGGGGTTGGCCGATGCCTCTCCATGTGCTTGAACCGCCTTCCGATCTGCAGTGCAGAAGTGGATCTTCCGGGACACCCCCAGCGTCATGGCTTCAGGGTGGTCATGTTTGTTCTGTGGTAGCTCCATGCCTCCAGTGTCCCCCAGGGAGCAAGTTGAAAGCCACACAGTGTCTCATGACCCTGCCCCAGAAGTCACAAGCTATATATTCCATTGGTCAAAGCAGTCACAGCATGCCCTAGTTCCAAGAGAGGGAGTATAAACCCCACCCTTGGTGGAAAAAAAAATGTCAAAAATTTGTCCTGTGACTCAGCATGGCTATTAACTTCTGCTTAGTTAGGCTCTTCTACCTATTTGTGTAAACAAGAAAGGTAGTTTAAAGGGTGCACACCAAACTGTGGAGAGTAGGTGCTCATTCTTCGTTCTTCACACTTCCAAAGGAAGCAAGAAAACACAGACAATACAAACAAAAATGATGGGATTTGGGGTGATCTTCTAAAGAAAATTCCGTTTTCTGCTCTCTAAACTCGGCAAGGTGTGCATACACTCTTCCCTACTTAGGCTTCCAGGACAGAAGCAAGGAGAGACGCTTTGAAATGAATGAAACACTGCAAGTTCATGTCCTTTTGCCAGACTTAACTGAGAGTATTCTTAGGACTGAATTAAACAGGAGAAACCAAGGAATTCGCTTTGGAGCTTTGAAGCAGCAGGAAAAAAAAACATAGAGTTAAAATGTGTCCATTACATTCAATAAGCATGGCATTAACGTGTGTGTGTGTGTGTGTGTGTGTGTGTGTGTGTGTGTGTGTGTGTGTGTGCTTTCTGATTTAAAAACAACACTTTTTGAGACACGATGGCTGGCCAGGAACTCACTGAGACCCACCTGTTTCTGCCTCTCA